TCATGGCCTAATCGTGTCTAATGTTGTGTGGGGTGATTAGGGGACCTAATTAGTGCTTAATGATGTGGTTTAGAGGTGGATTAGGGCCTAAATAGCTTTCTTGCCAGTGCGTTTACGATTACCAAAAATGCTTAAATTGCCTAAGTGTTGCACCAATTGGATTCATGGATTAAAGGTTTGAAATTAGGCAATTTAGGGGCTTAATTGGGCTTAGTTAAGGCTTAATTAAATGTATTTGGTGGTTGGATGGTTAGGGTAGGTGATTAGGCCCTAATGAGATTGTTTAACTGTGGTTTAGTGTCTAAATAGTACCCTGTTCTGGTACTGTTCATAGAGAACCGAGATTGTGCAATTTGCCTAAGTTGGGACTTATTTAGTCCATTGATTAATGACTTAGTGTTAGACAATTGGGTGACTATTGAGAGCTTGTATAAACCCTATAGGAGAAATCCGTGATGGTGAGGTTGTCTAATGAAATCGTTGTGTCCAAAGCGGACCTTAGGCGTATTAAACTGCCTTGGAATGATCGAGCGGAATGAGTGCCGAATTGATTGAATTAGAATGGGAATTAATTGGATTTATCGAGAGTGTGTCCAATTCGTTGAATTGATGGACATTAGTATTTGATAATTTGGCTTTGGTAATTGGCATGAATTCCCGGGCATGTGAAATGCATATCGTGTTGTTAAATAACCGGATTGAATGCATCATTATAAATGCCTATCGATTTATCGGATCATTGGCCTTCGGGTCGGCCTACGGGTCGATTTATCAAATTGTTGGCCTTCGGGTCGGGCTCTTGGTCGATTTATCAAATTGTTGGCCTTCGGGTCGGCTACGGGTCGATTTATCAAACTGTTGGCCTTCGGGTCGGGCCTACGGGTCGATTTAACAAGCTGTTGGCCTTTGGGTCGGGCCTACGAGCCGTTTTATTATATTGTGGGCCTTCGGGTCGGGCCTACGGGTCGCTATATTCAATTGTGGGCCTTCGGGTCGTTATAATTGTGCATGATTCACATTGAATTCAAATGCCTAACTTGCGGGGCGAGATAATGAATTGGGTCGTGAGCAGGGCAAATTTATAATGATTTGCTGGTTCATGAGTTCATTGTGTCGATTTACCTATCTGGAGGTGCACGTTAGCCTAGTTTAGGATTAGGGGTTTTGTACTTGCTGAGAAGTGTTATCACGGTTGTTTCAACCGACAATTTCAGAACCCCGACAGGAACCATGAATCCTCCACCGCAGCCACCAAAGCGTTTTGGGGTACCCGTGCACTCCGAGTTGGACGTTGCAGAGTTTCCAATGGGAGATGGGATAACCTGGATTAGACATACTACTACCGTTTTCATAGAAATAGGCTTGCCCCATAGGAGGAATAGAAGTACAGCCTGGTTCTTAGGGATGCGTGGGGATGAGTTCGGGCCCGTTAGGGTTTCGATGTTCCCTTTGATTTAGTTGGGGATTGGGACCCGACGGTCGTACCCCGATAGACGGAGAGTTGACTAGTGTGGATACTAGTTTAGCTCGTCGGGTTTGCATTCGGCGGCCGCGGCTCGGGGGATCTTCGAGGCCTGAGCATGAACCCGAGCCCGAAGCGTCGCAAGCTGAAGACGATCCGATGGACATCGATTTGGAATCGATCCCCGATGAAGAACCAGAGGAAGCGGAGGCCGAGGTAGAACCTGAGGTGGAACCCGAAATGGAACCCGAGGATGAACCTGGCGAGTTTGAAGAACCTGTAGGAGACCCGGAGTATATACTCCCTTTTGAGGAATACATGGATCCCAATTACGTGCCTGAGTATAATTTCTTCGATTTCTTAGTTGAGGAGTATCGAATGCGGCTCAATTTGAGTCGGGTGATATCAATCACCCGATTGTGATCGAAGCGAGTCGGCCCTCGGAGTGATGCGCTTTCGGGAAAGTTCGGAGTCGGAAGATGAGGAGTCAGACTCGGAATGGACGCCTAGCAAGGGGCGTTAGGGGTTAATTCAAGGGTTCTTAATAGGTTTTTGGAAAGTAACATTTTTGGGATAGAAAGTCAGGTCATCGATCTTTTTGGTATATCGATGGTTTGTAACACGGGTGCAAGTATACGCGATGGTGGTAAAGTCGGCGGTTGTAAGTTGTGAATATTTTATAAGTTGGTAATGTAAAGAAATATGTGTATTCTCCCTATTCTCCCGAGTTTATTTGTCGGGGATTAATTGTGAATTCCCCTGTGGCTTTAAATCTCTGATGGTCATTTGAGGTCGGCGACATTCTTGGGATGTCGCGCAAATCGACCAGGTAAGGGTGTCGCGTGCTCGATGGGGTTCGGGGCGTGACAGAAGAAGTCTATATGATGTAACCCGAAGGCTTTGCGGCAAATGATTCAGGTACGCTTGTATGTAGACTGAAAAAGTCTATTTATGGTCTCAAGCAAGCTTCTAGACAATGGCACTTGAAGTTTCATAGTGCTGTCGCTTCATTTGGTTTTGTTTAGAGCAAAGTAGATCAGTGTATATACTGCAAGGTCAGTGGGAGAAAATTCATTTTCCTTATACTCTATGTGGATGATTTCCTGCTTGCGAGCAGTGACCTTGGTTTACTGCATGAGACAAAGCGGATGTTGTCAAAGAACTTTGATATAAAGGACCTTGGTGAGGCGTCTTTTGTCATTGGCATTGAGATTCATTGGAATCGTTCTCGCCGACTATTGGGTTTATCTTAAAGGGCATATGTTGATCGTATCTTAGAAAGATTCAACATACAGCAATGCAAGCCAGGAATTGCTCATGTCAGTAAGGGTGATAAGTTGAGTCTGTCACAATGTCCTCATTCAAATTTTGAGAAAGCCCAAATGAAGAATGTATCTTATGCCGGTGCACTTGGGAGTATTATGTATGCTCAAGTATGTACTAGACCGAGATATTGCTTTTGCAAATGGACTTCTAGGCGGATATCGGTCAAATCCAGGACACGATCATTGGGTTGCTGCCAAGAAGGTTTTGAGGTATTTAAAGAGGACAAAAGACTATATGCTGATTTACAAATATGTTCAGGACCTACAGCTGGTTGGGTATTCGGACTCAGACTTTGCTGGCTATCAAGATGAAAAGAAGTCGACAACATGTTATATTTTTAAGTTAGCAGGAGGTGCAGTATCATGAAAAAGTGAGAAACAGAAATCAATGACATCCTCTACCATGCAAGTAGAGTTTGTAGCATGCTTTTTGGCTACTACTCAGGCAATTTGGCTCCGGAACCTCATTAAGGAGTTGTCCGTATTTGATTTTGTGGATAGGCCCATACAGTTGTATTGTGACAATAACTCTGCAGTGTTATTTGTTAACAACAATAGAGGTCTCAAGGGATCTAAGCATATGGAGGTCAAGAACCTAACTATAAAGGAAAAAGTTCAAAATGGTGACATTGCTGTAGAGCACATTTCAACAGATGATATGATTGCAGATTCGCTAACTAAAGGTCTTCGCCCTTGTGTATTTGATTGACATGTCATGAACATGGGCTTAGGAGTATCATGGGATACTGTTAATTAGTGGGAGTTGTTTAGTTTTATGTTGCTCTTATGAAGTTTGTATCTGATTTTGTTACATTTTGTAAATATTTAAATATGTATAAACTCTTTTGCATTCAATGCGGTACTTGTGAATGTAGATTTATCAAGTTGAGTACACATATTTGATGAAAATCTCGAGGCATTGTGTAAACCTTGAGTACAGGCTATGGGGCATTCTTGGTATTAGCCTTAACGATATGTCTTGTTACACATAAAGTACAGTTAACTATCAAGGTAAGACATGCAGGTTCGTTGGAACCATGAAAGATATTCTCTAGTGACACACTAGGTTTTGTGACACTTAAGGAGAGAGAATTTAGACTAACAAAATGGACAACACATGAAGTATCACTCATTATAAGGTATTGTCCATTTGACACACTACCATATTGAATCCATATCAGTAAAGTTGAAAGCACTCGTGACCATGGAAGGCTCTGCGTGAGTACATGCAGTTACCACCATGATTTGGTGTTCGAGACTTTATGGGATCGGATTGACTATTAAGAATAATCTCTAGACCAATATAAGGGTGCGAACACAGTTCTGCTTCAATTAATATCGCCCAAGTGGGAGAATGTAAGAATTTCCTAATGCGGGCTTCATTAATTGAAATTAACTGAATTAATTTGGTCTAATAAAGGTAAGATATATGGGTTCTTAATAAGTCTAATATGGGGCTGGCACGATGTGGGCAGTACGGCCCGGCCCGTAATGAGAGGACCCGTGGTCGAAGATTCTATAAATAGCGCTCAAGTCCCTCCCCTAACCCCATGATGCACAATTTAACTCACATACGGATCTAGAGAGAACTTTCTTCTCGTGAGTGGCAATCTCATTAGGCCAGTGTTCTAACGAAGGGTATAGGGGAGAAACACTTGAGTTCGTGTTCGAAAACCGTCGCAAATTCCGCATCAAGTTCGATGGATTCCAAACCAGATACGCGAATCGATAATTTCTCCATTAACATGTTTCGATTTCTGATTATGGTGATCCTGGGCGTGCCATTTTCGTGGCCAACACAATAAAATTAGCACTAGTTGGCTAATTCATCACGCGTAACCACCCATGTCAACTATCATAATTATATATGCAAATGACATAATTCTACGAGTAATCGCCGCTCACCAAACACCGAATTCGATAAAAAAAAATTCAAAATCTGCATTCCAATGAATTAACATTTCGTAGATAGAAATTGATATTTAGTACGCAGAAATTGAAGAAAGACATATTTCATATGCAAGTCACGCTAACAAATTACAATAAAATGTGCAATAACGACGAATCCGTGATTCCATATAAGACTGGAAATAGAATTTCATTAGGTAATTGAACGAAGACGGGAAAAAAAAAAAACCTTGAAGGGGCCATCCATGAAATTTCCCTGTTATACAGGTAGTTTTCAGCAAAACTTGTAGCAAGTTAGAACTCACTTTCCAGTAAATAAAGAGATGACTCTGACTGTCGTTGTACACACATGGATCCACCTATCATGACCAATATCCATTAAATCCAATATCTTATAGCAAGAAACAATCAGAACAACGCCGAATATGGAAAGATAATGCACCTTAGATCAAATGAAATTTTAATCTTATTGTGATTATGTTCTTATATTTCTCCAATTCCCATTCAAAAAGGAAAAGAAAGATCTAATTTAATTGATATATCGGGAAAACGTACCCTCCATCCAGCTTCTATCGAGTTTGGTTGATTATCAAGCTCGGTGAAGATCCACATCTGAGCTCCACTATATTGTCCATTTTCACACCTTGGAATGTAATTATCAATGAATGCTTTTGCTCCGTACATAGGACTACCGGCAGATAGCAGGTCCAGAAAAGCGAACTTGAAAAATTGAGAATGATATCAATGGTAAATGTAATTATTGTGGCCAATCATCGATAGACATACGAAATTCACTACAATACGACGCATTAGGTTTTTAATAATAAGTCATGTGATTACAAGAGAGCGAAAGATACGTCGAAGGTCATTGAAACAAGTTAAGTTGAATGCAAAAATGCACGAAATTAATTGGATAATACAAGAGACAACAATTCATTATGAATTTAATTTCGTCATTAAGGGAAGAACTTACATGATAACCCGGAGAATCGGTAGTCGAAGGATGATATATCTGTGGACGTGTCTGCTCAAGCAATTTGGCTCTCACCCGATCTTCCTTTATCGTTCTGAGAATTGGAATAGTTCCATAAGGACAGCCATCCAAAACATGTGATATCTCGAGTTGCTTAACTTGTGCTCTATGTATGTGCTTTTTTGCATTGAGAGAAAAGCTAGGCTTTTTCTGTCCGCAATTTAGTTCATGCAACAATTAGGGACTAAACCAATATTATTGAAATACTGGCAGAATTTCATGGAAAATTGTACAATTAGTACGCAAGACGGTGTCTCTGTCTCTGCTATCGAATAGAGGAGGAGGAGCTAGCGGAAGCTGCTTTGTGCATGTGTACGATAGAATAGGATTGATTGTGCAATTCTCCTCGTAATTTTGCCAATAAATTAATACCTGAAGCTTATGATCTTTCAGTAAAGGGTGGTCAAACGCTGGTTGTTTATATATGTTGATACAATCAATGATCTCTCCATAGTTTGTCTACAGTAGTTACGAACAACGGAAGTTAGTACATCGATACAAGTGACAAAGAAACTCACATCGTGCACCGGGACAAAATTCAAAATCAATCAAAATACCTTAAAGGTCTTAATAGGCCGCCTCTCTTGCTCCGACTCTTGTTCTTCAGCATTGGAACGCACAAGAAGGGCAAACCATACAACTGCAAGCATGGAGATTTTTCTCAACCCCATTGTCTGAATCTTTGTGTGATATGATTTGCCAAAGGGCTCTTTTATATGTTACAATTCGTATTTTCGAATGGAGAAAGAATGCACTGATATAAAGAGGTAGGAAATCTCTTTCCACTTTTCATGGAAGCGATTGGGTTATTTTAGTTATGGCAACTTAATTTGCAGTTGTTCTTATCCAATTTCTTTCCATTACTGCAAAAATCTCATTTTCTGTAAGGAGAATAAAATCACGCAATTTTGTCCACCGCACATTCTAGTGACTACTATAAAAACAATCATGTAATTTTCATTACCAAATTATTAAACGATCTTTGAAATTTCTTATAGATCGGCTACTCATTTAAGACCCAATAATCGGAAAATAAAAGGACAAAATATTTTTAATCACTATCGCATGGAATTCCATTTTCCTTTGAAATGCTCCCCTAATTTCAAACGTCGCTGCGTTTTGCTGTCCTTTTCTAACGAGAGAATCCCCTATTTTTGTTCGGGGTTTTCTTGTTTCATTTGTTTGGGCTGATTTGTGATGGAAAAGGAAAAGGTTTAGACTCATCTTTTCTCAACGGAAACAATAGCAGACCTTACGCGCATGCAAGATCATATAAAACATAACAAATGGGTTGGTTAAATAGCCAAATACTTTGTTTGGAAGTGACGAATCCCGTTTTCAAATCGTATCTCTCATTCAAATTAGCCTTGGGAGCGATGCTCGCTACATTGTAGGTGCAACCTCAACCCCAAACTTGTTCGATGTTTTTGGTCAAGACTCATTTCGTATATCCAAAAGGATTAGTCGAGTCAAAAGGTGTGGCGACTGCTTATTAATCCAAATTGATTTCCAATTTCATTCTTGCATCTATTGCGAAACCCAAGCAACATGACCATGCTTAGCTACAACAAAACACAACTATAAATATATTGAATTGAACATTGACTAAATCCTAATTTTAGACACCAAGCTCAATAGAGCTCTGACAAAGCAACACGTCCCAACCTTTCACAACTTAGCTGTGGATAAATGTTTGTTTATTTGTATATGTTGGACATGCTTATCCTCATTTTTTAAGTTTATGACGTGTTGTAAATGAGTGTGTGGTTGTCCAAAGACTCTTGCTTAAACTGCTTCGGTGACCAACAAAGATTTCATTCCCTTTGTGACATTTAAGTTATAGTCACCAGATACATTGTCTTTTCATGAACACGTTATTGGGATTTGATTGAGAAACTATCGGATAATAACTTAGAGGTAAGTAAATGTTCATATAGAAATGTCAAACAGCCAGATACTATAAATGTCGAATAGCTTGGATAATGTTTTGATTGACGTATAATGCTGACTGTTTGCTAGACTTCAAATGTATACCAGCGGTAAATTTATTTTTGCCTTTGGATTTTTATGGATGTCATGTTTTTTATGTTTCACCAGAGCAAGCTAACTGACATGTAATTGGTATCATTAGGTGGCTTTAACCAAGGATCTTCGTTGTTTGATGGTTGCATTCTCAGAACTTGTTGAAGACATTGTTGAATCAAGAGGGTGTCATTGGAAAATTAAAGGATGAAGCGCTATGGTTTAGGTCACGGGAAATGATATCTCCACAACTACAAAATCTTCTTCCCCAACTATTTTATATTTTATATATTTCCAACCGAAAAAACTATTTTATATTTTGTATCTCGAATGGACAAAGTTATCCTCAAAAGCCAAAATCTCCATGAAGACTCTTGAAAAATAGAAAAGGGCAAATATCATTAAAATAGAGTAATAATAAATGAAAAAAAAACTGCACTTATCTTTTATTGAAATAATAAACCCAACCCCCTTCCATGAATTACAGATTTTAGATTGTGTGCATACTTATATGTTAATATTTGTGTGTCGTGAAGGTCTTAGGAATTTCGAGTCATTAAAAATTAAAAATGGACAAGCCATAAGATTTTTTTTTTGTAAAAAAAAAAGTGAAAAAAAGTAAAAGTAATTCTATAGACTCCGTATGAGTAAATCAAAACTCGAGCAAGAAGATACGAAGGAAAATCCCCAAACGAAGACGCAAATACTTTCTGGAGTTTGATTTTCTACACTTATTATCATGGTAATGAACGATTTAAATATATTCATACAGATATGTTTATGCGAAATGCGGGCTATGTAACTAGATTGAATAATTGTATGGTTTTCGCCGAATACATATCGCATTGCAGGTTATTTATTTTGATGAAAAGAAATAGTTGCTCTAAATTTGACGGTGTGGTTAATTAATTGTTTAGATTTCGTCATCTAATTTGACATTACACGAATGGCTTTACCTCAAGGAGGGCTCAAAATGTAACATATGAATGGAAAGCTTGACAAATATGAGAAGATAAAAAGATGGAAATTTATATATCGGAAGTCGACATTATAACGAATCTTATTCTTATATCTATCTGTTTGTATTTAAGCTCCACAATATCCACCGGGTCCCCCGAACAACAAGGTATAGCCCATGTAATCATCGTCATCGTTGACGGCAACGCCGTAGCAATCTTTCGAGCTCGTCCGAGTAGATACTTGCCAAGACTCGGGCACTTTCCATTCTTTCGAGCGATCCGTGTAATGAATTTGTCTAATGTAGCAAGCATGCGAGAACGACTTGTCCGGAAAGTATCCGCTTCCCATCGGCGGGAAAGGCATGTCTTTGAACGCGGACGTCCCTCCTCCGAAGAATAGTGCCTCGGCGCCGTCCTTCATTTCGGGCAACAACTCAGCCGGCCAATAACCCACGTGAGCAGTACCGTTAGCCGTTTCGACTATCAACCACCAATTGTTTGTGGTCAAATCCTGTTGTGAAGTCAATTGTTAAATAGTCATTAGAGAACTTTTTATGTGCTTCGAAGAATGATATTTCGCTCGTGGATGGGTAAATCAATCCACGCACAATGTGATATTCAGCTAAGTTCACTAGCATAATTGAGAGACGGGTAGGTAACCCTTTTTTCAGTAATTATTTCTTGTTTCACAAACACGTTCGTAAAATAACATGTTCACGTAAAAAAAACGTTTCAAAATCCTTGAAAGAGCAACTGATCACCTTTTTCCTCAACTCATATCCGTTGCTGGTGCAACTTTCGTACTACATAGAAATTTTTTACTTTTTTTTTCCATTATTACAGAGGTCCGAAGAGAAAGAGTTAATTACCTGATCAATTGTAAGTCGAATCTCGAACTGTTGCCCGCCATAAGAAGAAGATCTTGGGATAACTTGTCCGAGAGTAATGGAATGATCAACTTGCACAAAGCCTGGACACATCAAATCATGGCATCCCATTGCACCTGCCTGTTCTTTGCACATGTATTAGAATGATTGTCCATTTTGGACTAGTTTCATTTTGCTCTTTGAACAATAGATTTGGCACTGATTGGGTAATCATCACGCATAACCAGCCATGCCGAGTATCATAGTCATGTATGCACATGACATAATTCTAAGAATAATCTACACCCATCGAACACCGAATTCAATAATCTTTTTTTTCAAAAGCTGCACTCCAATGAATTAACATTTTATAGATAGAAATCGATAGTTAGTACGCACAAATTGATGAAAGACATATTTCATATACAAGTCACGTTACCAAATTACAATCAAACGTGCAATAACTACGAAGCTGTGAATCCATATGAGACTGGAAATATAATTTCACGAGGTAATCGAATGCAAACCAAAAAAAAAAAAAAGTTGAAGGGCCAAAATAGAACTAGGTAAACTTGTAGCAAGTTAGAACTTACTTGCCAGTAAATAAAGAAATGACTCCAACTGTCCTTGTACAGATCTGGATGCACCTATCATGACAAAATCCATTAAATCTAATATTATATAGCAAGAAACAATAAGAACAACGCCGACTATGGAAAAATAACGCACCTTGGATCAAATGAAATTTCAATCTCACTGTGAATATGTTCTTTTATTTTCTTTATTCCCATTCAAAAAGGAAAAGAAAGTCTTGATTAATTTATATATCGGGAAAGCATACCGTCCATCCAGTTTGCATTATGTTTGTTCCGCCAGTGATCCTGCTGGCGATCCTAAGCAGAGCTGCACTAGATTGTCCATTTGCACACTTTGGAATGTAATTATCAATGAATGCTTTTGCTCCGTGGAAAGGATTACTTCCGCTCCACAGCTTCAGAGTGGCAAACTTTGAGAAATTGAGAATGATGTCATTGGTAAATGTAATTCTGATGGCCAATTATCGATTGACATACGAAATTCATGACAATACGACATATTAGGTTTTTGATAGTAAATCATATAATCACGAGAGAGCTAAAGATATGTCGAAGGTCATTGAAACGAGTTAAGTTGAACGCAAAACACGAAATTAATTGTGTAATACAAGAGACAACAATTCGTTGTTAATTTAATTTCGTCATTAAGGGAACAACTTACACGAAGACCTGGAAATTCAGCAGACGATGGATGATATATCTGTGGATGTGTCTGCTCAAGTAATTTGGCCCTTATCCGATCTTCCTTTGTCCTTCTGAGAATTGGAATAGTTCCATCGGGACAGCCATCCAAAGCATGTGATATCTCCAGTAGCTTAACTTGTGCTCTCTGTCCGTGCTTTGTTGCATTGAGCGAAAAGCTAGGCTTTTTCTATCCACAATTTAGACAGCAACACTTAGGGATTGAACCAATACTACAGAGTACTGGCAGAATTTCATGGAAAATTGCATAATCAGCAAAGCATGACGGTGTCTCTGCTGTCGAATGGAGGAGGAGGAGAAGCTAGCGGAGGCTACTCTGTGCATATGTGTACGATAGAATAGGATCGATTGTACAATTATCCCCGCAATTTCGACAATAAATTAGTACCTGAAGCTTATGATCTTTCAGTAAAGGGTGGTCGAACACTGGTTGTTTATATATGTCGATACAATCAATGATCTCTCCATAGATTGTCTTCAGTAGTTACGAACAACAAAGGTTAGTACATCGATACAAATGACAAAG